AAGAGCTTGAAAGCTAAGTACTACCAAGCTAAGAACAAAAACGGGAGAAGTGGCTCCGACCCCACCAGTTTTTCATTTTACGTGTTGATGGACGAACTGATGAGAGATCGGCCACTGGCCAACACGACAGGCAGCGGTGTGGATCAAGGTTATGAGGAGGAATCTGAGGACTACAGCCCCGATGCAAATCAGGAACAAAGCATCCTTTCCGGTAAGATACTCTTCAAGCCACATTAACCCTCCGTACTGTATTACTTGGTGTAATTGGGATACAACAAATATGTTAAAATGTAATTATAATAAGAAATAAGAGTAACTTTAGGGCTAGCATAATTATACCTCCAAGGATTGTGTACAATAGAGAACATGAGACCTATATTGTGGATTATAACACCACCCCAACTAACCAGATAATTAACCCAACAAATTTCAATATACCAGGGGCCCAGTTAGACTTTATTTTTTTCTTTTTCAGATGATGAGTCCAGCTTTGAAGAGGCAGCTGGCAGCAGCACACACCAAGTAACAGAAGACAGTGGTCCTAGAAACTTTCAACAGACGAGGACATCAAGGAAGAGTAAGTTGTGTGTTCCAGATGACAAAAACAGTAACAAATGTTTATACAGTGTTTAGGGAGATTATGTTAGTACTGCATCCAAGCAAGTAATAGTGTTTTACATCATTGCAGGACCACGAGGGAACTCTGGTTATGCAAGGGCCATGCAGACTTGGGCCACCGAACAGCAATCCTTCTACCAGAAGATGCAAGAGTCCCAGAACAAATGGATGGAAGAACAACAGGAACGATGGCAGCAAAGAGAAGAAAGGTTGTTTGTAAGGTTCTTAGAAGAAAACACACTCTCAACTGAGCGTGTAGTGAGGCAATGTTTTGATGGATTAAAGTCCATCATGACTCAAATGACCTCACCTCCACAGGGAAGATCTCCAGTTCCTCCCTACCCTCAGCATCAATACACAGGTCAAAGCCGGTCTGCTCAATTTCCTCAGAACCCAAGCTACAACTCTGATTACCACCTCCATGACCTAAGCTAAAATTAAAAAAAAGTTTATTTGTGCAGCAGCTAAGTTTTCATATTATATATATATATATATATATTTATATATATATATTTTGATATTGTAATTCTGAAAGTACAGGATGAGTTGATAAAGAAGTTACTGTTGAATTACACGTTACTGTAGTTTTAAATGACCAAAGAATGTTTTTTTTCTGTTTTCATTACAAGATGTGATGATCTGTGCACATTGTCTGTTTTGCACAAACTTTTTGAATGTATAATTTTTATGTTTTTGTGATGTAGGCTACCTCAAATTGCACTGAGAATGAAACACATTTCACACAGTGCCAACAAGCAATATAAATTGTTTACAAGGATTTATTAAAATGTTTGGTCCATTAAAGAGCTCCGATGTACACTAGTATTACTTGCCGTTTTGTTATAATATCTTTATACAAATGTTAGCTGCATCTGAACACATACAAAGTACATGACAAGTATATATTGTATACTTTAAAAGCCCCTTTAATGCAGATGGCCTGTACGGAGTGGAAACTTGGACATATATGCAGTCAGTGCCTCTCTTGCACCGTTTCCACCAACACTGCACTGAAGATTCACAGGCTGGTTAGGCTGAGGGTAGTTGTTTGCACGGTCACGTGCCTCTTCCAACCAGTTGCTGTTGCCATAATCCCTCTCCCTCTGGCAGAAGTTGTGGAGTGCACAACAGGTGGCAATCATTGTTGGAGCAAAGGTAAAATGAAAGTCACTTCTTTTTAGAAGAACTCTCCACCGTGACTTCAGCAACCCGAAGGTCATCTCTACGCCCACCCTGACTGAGCTAAGGTAAACATTAAATGACGCTTGTTGAGGAGTCAGACGAGGAGAGTTTGGGTATCCTTTGATGAGCCAGTCCAACAGCGGGTATGCAGGGTCACCAACAATGAGAAGACTGACATCCTTTCCTTCAATGTTCCTCACAGACTGCAAAAAAAAAACATACCAATATTTAGTATTTTACTTAGACATTGTTTAAAGGCATGGTTCAAATAAACTTTTTTTTTAAATAAAACTTTACAGCTATGTATCTATACTTTGAGAACCTTAGCTGTAATAGTTGTAGTAATACTAAATACAGTATAGTAAATATTAGCCTTACTTTTGGCATTAGATGAGCCTTTTGATAGAGGTCAGAGTGGCGCAGGACATTGGCATCATGGGCACTGCCTGGCATCTTGCAACTGATGCTCCAGAAACTGAGAAAAACAGAGGAAGAACAGTAATTAATAATAAATACAGACAGTATCAAGCATAGACTGGTAGAAAAAGAAAGAAAAACAAGTTTATTTAAACATACAGTGTTTATTTGTCTTACCAGCTGTTGTTGTCCACAACAGCTTGGAGGACATAGGATGGCCAGCCTTTACGGTTAACAAAGTCTTTATATCCATCAAAAGGGGGGAAGAACCGGAATGTGTGATCCATTGATGAGACCCATAATATGAGTGATGTGATGGGAAGCCTCAAAAGCTCTGGCGATCTCCAGTGCCTCCGTGTCAGTTGGTGCTCGGATCAGCTGTTTAATTGGTCCTCTCACCATGCTTTTACAAAACATGTACACACAATTTTTAACGCTGCTCTTACTTATTCCAAATTGATTTGCAATGACTCGATATTCGGCACAGCTGCCCAGTTTATACAGAACAACTGCAAATCGCATCATGAGCGGAATTGGAGTTCTAACAGTCACCTCCTCTGGGGCTAAATGACTCTCCATCAAAGTGCACAACTTCGTGAAAGACAGACGTGTCATGCGAAAATTCTGCTTCCACTCCTGGTCGGTGAACTGCGTGAGGACCACACGCTCCCACCAGTCTTTACTTCGAACTTTCATCCACTGGTTTCTGGTCGTTTGTGGAGGTAGTGGCAGCAGCATTAAACTTGCCGGCAGCAAAGAACTTTCTCAGATGTATTTTTCCTTCCGCGCTCTCATCCTCCGAAGAAAAAAGACTAAAAGCATGCGTTGCTTCGCCTGTAGCTCAAGCAGGGAGTGCAGTAACAACTCCATCACCGTCATTAAAATCTGTCGCGGGTCCATTTTTGACGCTCAAGTGTGTTTACGTTCGTCCCGGAAAGAGAACTTCTTCTTTGGTTTACACGGAAGTAACTTCTTCTTCTGTGTTTTTTTAAAAAGAGTTTACCACTCTGCGCATGTCAGTACTTCTGTTCAGAATCAAAGCCCGTTGCATGTAAATGCACATCGTGAACGGATTGTGCCCATGTAAACGATACATTCGAATTATTCAAACAGAACACATTTCAATCTGGTCAAAGAATTCTGTGCATGTAAACATAGCTAATGTGTCCTTGACACACACAGCACAGTGTAAGGTAGCAAAAAAAACTATCTCAACACAAAAATAAAGCAACTGAGATAGACGTAAGACATTTTGCAGTGGGGGAGGCCAACAAAGGCAGTGAGACTGTCCGTGAAAGCTACCAGAAAGTTCCATAGTCCTGATAAAGATGGCACAGTGTCTATCAGCCGGTTCAGGATGTTCGGGGGGGGGTGGGGGGGGGCAGAGCTTCATGTTTACATATGATTTACATAGTTGGCTTATCCAAGGCCAGTGGGGGAGCAAGTTTCAGATAAACAACAATTGTTTTGGGATAGGCCGACTACTGATTTCACGTCTTCCTTCATAGTTCTCCTGGTATACTCAATGGTGAATAAAAAACAGACAGATTTTGTAATCATTCCGCTGGTCCATGCTTGTAGCCTTCTCCAAGGTCGATTCCTTCATGCCAGCGAGTTCTAGGAGCCACAAGTGGCCTGCGATTCTCAGAAATCACATCCAGTTTACAGTTTAGCTCGCAAAGCATCTGAGTTTGAGTGCTCAAAGCACGGTGTAATCCTTCATATAAGGCAGGCAACCTCAACATTGCCAAAACTGCTGCCGACGTCTTCCTAATTTGTCGATATCCCAGGTACCCGCCAATTCCAAAAAGCAGAAACACTGTTATCATAAATACAATTATGTACACGTATTCAACGCCTCAACAGACAGGCACATCATCTTCCATTCTCCCCAGGAATCCATGGTACAGTATATCCAGCTGAATGTGTCCCTTTAGGGCAAGAGGGTTCTCCTGCACCCACTCATCTTATATGTGGGAGAAACACTGCGGAGGGCAGAACAGATGGCACAAGGATCACAAAACACACACAGATTATCTCACAACTGACACAACACCTCTAAAACCATGATACAACTTAGTCACATTTTGCATTCCTTGTAGATGACAACCTGCATAACAACTTCACCAAAAAAAGACTGGTGATATGAGTATAATTGTTTGCAGGAAAAAACAAGAATAACACTACAAGCAATGAACACCAACCATTTCACTGCAAAGTCATCCTTTACAATAATAATAATAATAATAATAAATATAATGGAAATAGACGATGGCCGGCAATGGAGGAGGGGGCGTTTCAAAGAGACCATCTTATCACAAACAAAACTGGTTTGTTCCACTTTAGAGTACGCTGTTGGGGGAAAAATCAGTTTTGTGTTGTGTGTTTCCTTGACTGATGAAGCCTTCCGGATCGAAGGTGAAACGTTTCAGCACAAAAAAAAAAAAAGAAACTGTCCAGATGACCTGACTGAAAAATGTTGGAATAAATATAATGGAAGATAAATTTCTCAGTAATTGACAAGATAAATTAACTTTATTGTCTACCACAATTGTGACAGAAATTATCCTTTGACACACTCTACATTCATCATACATACAAAAGAACCAATAATAGAACATAAGGAAAAAACACATTATTATTGATTATTATTATAATTGCTATAATTGATGTGATCTGAATATCAACCTGATTGTGTCTCAGAGGTCAGATCCACAGTCAGAGACCAGTGTTCAGATGTCTGTCGGTGAACATGAACAAAGCATTACCTCCAGACATCAGTAATGAACTTGAATCCTCAGGCAAAAGGTAAGAAAATGCCTTCCAACTAATTTATATGACTCATCGGAGAGCTTTGATATTTAGTTGCGAGCTGGTGAATTTACAGTCTGGACATCTTATCAAACTGGGACCAGTCTGCTGCTTCAGGATGTTCCTCCAGTCCCCAGTGCACTGAAAGATCCAGAACCAGATCTGGACTGCCAACAGACAATCAGAGCTGCTCCATACAAGGTAGAGTATAGCTGTTTACCTGTTGCTTTAATACTGAAGCAAAAAGCCATGGAATTCACCAAGCAGGATATATGGTGATGAACTGACTATGTTTGATGTTTCTTCAATTAGAATGATCATTTATTTTTAATCATGTTGTTTTTCAGTAGATGTTGGTCTGCAGGAGGTTTTAGATGAACATAAGATCAGCCTGAGAAAGAGATGTGAATATGTGGCTGAAGGAAGTGGTGAAACAGGAAGTAGAACCCTCCTCAACAGGATCTACACTGAGCTCTACATCACAGAGGGACAGAGTGAAGAGGTTAATACCCAACATGAGGTGAGGCAGCTGGAGGCAGCCTCCAAGATCAAGAGCCTTCATGACACTCCAATCAGGTGCCACGACATCTTTAAACCTGACCAACATGGAGCCATCAGAGTAGTTCTGACAAAAGGTGTTGCTGGTGTTGGAAAAACCTTCTCAGTGCAGAAGTTCACACTGGACTGGGCCGAGGGCTTGGAGAACCAAGATGTCAGTGTGGTGATTCTGCTTTCATTCAGGGAGCTGAACTTGATCAGAGATGAGCAGTACAGTCTTCTCACACTGATCCATGATTTCCATCCAACATTAAAGAAGCTCCCAGCAGAGAAGTTGTCTGTCTGTAAACTTCTCTTCATCTTTGATGGTCTGGATGAAAACAGACTTTACCTGGATTTCACCAACAGAAAGTTTGTATCTGACGTCACACAGAAGTCATCAGTCAATGTGCTGCTGACAAACCTCATCAAGGGGAGTCTGCTTCCCTCGGCTCTGGTCTGGATATTATCTAAACCTGAAGCAGCCAAACAGATCCCTCCTTCATGTGTTGACAGGGTGACAGAAGTACGAGGGTTCACTGATACCCAGAAGGAGGAGTACTTCAGGAAGAGGTTCATTGATGGAGATTTGTCAAGCAGAATAATCTCCCACATCAAGACCTCCCGCAGCCTCCACATCATGTGTGGAATCCCAGTCTTCTGCTGGATCACTGCTACAGTTCTGGAGCACATGTTGACCACAGAGCAGAAGGAACTGCCCAAGACCATGACTGACATTTACTCACATTTCCTGCTGGTTCAGACAAAGAGAAACAAGAACAAGTACCATGAAGGACATGATAGGAAGACCAGAAAAAGAATTAAGAGGAAGAAAAACAAGAACCATGAAGAGCAAGAGACAAGTCCCCATGAGCTGACAGAAGCTGACAGAGAAGTCCTCCTGAAGTTGGGGAGGTTGGCATTTAAGCATCTGGAGGAGGGAAACATCTTGTTTTCCCAAGAAGACCTGGAGAAATGTGAACTTGATGTCACAGAGGCTTCAATGTACTCAGGAATTTGTTCAGAGTTCTCTAAAGGAGATTCATTGATTTTTAAGAAACCAGTTTACTGCTTTTTTCATTTGAACATTCAGGAGTTTCTGGCTGCAGTCTACATGTTCCACTGTTTGCGCAATTGGAACGTAACTGTAATGAAGAAGTTTTTGGGAAAGGACTACAGTTACCCATCAATGGATGACTTCCTTCACAGTGTCCTGGTGAAGTCCCTCAGAAGTGAAAATGGCCACCTGGACTTGTTTGTTCGCTTCCTTCATGGCTTCTGTGTGGAGTCCAACCAGAGACTCTTAGGAGGCCTCCTGGGTCAGACAGGTTACAGTCCAGAAATCATCCAGAGAGTCATCAACAACTTGAAGAAGATAAACTCTGGTGGTGTTTCTCCTGACAGACACATCAACATCTTTCACTGCCAGATGGAGATAAATGACCTCTCAGTTCATCAGGGCATCCAAGAGTTCCTGAAGTCAGAGGACAGATCAAAGATAACCCTCCCAGAGAACCAGTGCTTAGCTCTGGCTGACAAGCTGCAGATGTCAGAG